TGAGACATACAAATTTTCCTTTAAGTACTTTTTAGCTATATTCATAAATATAAAGTGCATTCTGTGTTGCATTTTCATTCAGTAAAAAATATTTTCTAATTTCCATTGTGATTTCTTTTGATCCATGCCTTATTTATATCTTTGTTTAATTTCCAAATGTTGGCAATTTTCCAGACATCTCCATGTGGTTGATTTCTTCACTAATTCCATTGTGGTCAAAAAGCTTATTTTAGGGCCGGCCCGGTGGCGCACTGGAGAGTGCAATGCTTGGGAGTGCGGCAGCGCTCCCGCCGAGGGTTCGGATCCCATGTGGAGACCAGTTCCCGCTCACTGGCTGAGCGCAGTGCGGGCGCAACACCAAGGGTTGCGATCCCATTGCCGGTCCCCAGTATGGGCGCGACACCAAGGGTTGCGATCCCATTACCGGTCAGTAAAAAAAAAACAAAAAGGAAAAAAAAAAGCTTATTTTATATCATTTCAATCCTATGAAATTCAATAAGATTTGCTTTATGGTCCATCAGATGGTCTATTTAGTGCTACATGGTGCACCTGAGAGAATATGTGTTCTGTTGAAATTGGGTGCAGTGTTCTATAAATGTCAATTAGGTCAATTTGTCAATTTGAATAATGTTAAGTCTTTTATTACTTTATTAGTTGCATCAGTTTCCAAAAGAGGAACATTTATTCTTCAGTTATAATTGTGGATTTGTTTGTTTTTTGAGTTCTGGAATATTTTGCTTGATATATTTTGATGCTTTGTTATTGGGTGTGTATGTTTATGATTATTATGTCTTTGTGACAAATTGACCCTTTTATCTTATGTCTGTCTATATACCTGATAATATGACTTAGTTTGGACTACTTTGTGTGCTATTAATATAGCCATTCCAGATTTCTTAAGATTTGTGTTTACGTGATATATATTATTCCATCCTTTTATTTTTAACCTACCAATGTTTATATACAAAGTGTCTTTCAAATGGACAATTCATAGTTGGTCATCACATTATTTTTTGTATTTTTTTGAGGAGAGGTCTTAATTTTTTTCCCCTGAACTGTATTTTCAAGGTTATTTGTATAATAGAAAGCTTAGAAGATATAGAGTCTCCCTCTAGAGCAGATTTGTTTATTGTCCACATAGCAGAGATAATGTCTCCCTCCAGAGCAAAAGTTGGGCAGGTTTACTAACAGCATCTTATGTAAGACTGAGGCTTCTTTATCTGTGACACAAACCCACTGTGTACACAGCATGTACCTGGGCACATATGTGCATCACACGTGGAGCTTGGAGAGCAAGGGAAACAAATGTAAACATGCGTTTGATGCTGCCTGCTGTTCCATTAATAATAAAGTCCTCTGTTTCTAACTTGTAGTTTCTTGTCTTCTGCTAGCATCAGGGAAACTTGTTATCTTGTAGGTGGTATGAAATCTCAGCTTCTTTTCAGTTCTTGGCATTGCCTTTTAATTGGAGTGTTTAGACTATATTTAATGTAACTATTGATTAATTTGATATGAAACCTATCATCTTGCCATTTGTTTTCTTTATATTTGAATCTATTCTTCGTTCCTTTTTTCTTCTCTATCTTCATTTGTATGAATTTATAGTATTCCATTTTATCTTCACTGTTAGCTATACTCTGATTTTTTTGTGTGATTGCTCTAGTATTTACAATTTGTATCTTGAACATCCAACTTTACCTTCAAATCATATACCTCTCTTTATGGAAAATACAACAACCTTTCAATAACTGTACTGCCATTAGCACTCTCCCACGATTTATTGTCATACATTTTACTCCTGCATGTTATAAATGCCACAATACATTAATTTTGCTTAAAACAATTATTTTTTAAAGAAATAAATAAAATAAAAATAATTATATATTTGCCTGTATATGTTTCCAGAGTTCTTTGTGGTTTTATGTAGTTCCCAGAATCTATCTGATATCTTGCTTCTTTCAACTAAGTAATTTTCTTCTGCAGGTCTGCTAGTGATAAATATATTTTGGCTTTTATTTTCTAAAAAATCTGCATTTTGCCTTCAGTTTTGAAGGATATTTTTGCTTCATATAAAACTTTAGGTTGTCTTTTTTTTTAATTATCTATCGATTGTTTAAAGATGTCCCTCCATTGTCTTCTGGCTTACATCATTTCCACTGAGGTCTCTGGTTTTCTTATCTTTATTTCCAGCATTTAATGTGGCCCCTCCCTTTGCTGCTTTCTTTTCCCTTTTCACGATTTTCAGAAATTTAATTATGACATAATTTGGTAAGGTTTGGTCTTTATCTTGCTTACTGTTCTTTAAGCTTTTTGGATTTGTGGATTTTATTTTTACCAAGTTTGGAAAAATTTTGGAAATGTTTTTTTCACTTCCATCCCACCCCATTCAGACACACCCAATTATTAATTGGAAGACTATTTGATACGGTTTCACTGGCAGTGAGGCACTAATAATTTTCCCAATCTTTNTCAGAAATTTAATTATGACATAATTTGGTAAGGTTTGGTCTTTATCTTGCTTACTGTTCTTCAAGCTTTTTGGATTTGTGGATTTTATTTTTAACAAGTTTGGAAAAATTTTGGAAATGTTTTTTCACTTCCATCCCACCCCATTCAGACACACCCAATTATTAATTTGGAAGACTATTTGATACGGTTTCACTGGCAGTGAGGCACTAATAATTTTCCCAATCTTTTTATCCTTGCTTCAGTTTGAATTGTTTCTGTGACTATATCTGCTATATCTTTAATTTCAGTGACATTTTTCGGTGAACAACTAATATGTTCTTAATCTCAGTTAGTGAATTTTTGACCCTCAGATATTTTTCAGTTCTAAAAGTTCTATTTAATTCTTTTTAATTGTTCATTCCTCTCCTGAGTTCATTTTTTTTCTTTAAATTCCAAGTGTAGTTAAGATATTTATGTTTAAATTGCTTTTTTCTAATTCTATCATCTCTTTTTATTTCTGCATATGTTTCTTTTTTTGTTTGTTTTTACTTCTGGGGAGATGATTAGTTTATTTTAGGACATTTTAAACATACTTTTAAATAGGATTCATACTGAAATTAGTTGAATTACATTAATAATATTTTTCTATACATAATTATACCTGAAAAGGTAGTTAACAAAATGAAAAACTGTTTTGTTTCATTTAGTCTTCACAAGTATTTATTAAGTATTTTATTATGCGATTTCTGTGAAATACACTGTAGAGATTTCCTTTAAAATAAGCATATAAAGGGCCGGCCCATTATTAAAGTTTTCATTATTATACAATCTATAACTAAAAACAGTGACGCACTGCTACAAGTGCGCCGCTTGGGAGCGCGGCGGAGCTCCCGCCGAGGGTTCGGATCCCACATACAGACTGGTTCCC